AAAAAAAAAAGAATTAATACTTGCAAGGCATTTAAGACAGCTGGCACGGTACCCCAAACCAAACCCTTCAACCTCCATTGGCTTTCTAAAGCAAAAATCTATGGGAAGAGACTGCCCATCTTTCTCCCACATTGATGAATGGATTCAAACTGAGAAACTCTGGGTTAGCAGCACAATATACCATGCCATCAGCTCAAGGTTTAGCACTATTGAGAACCCAGGATGGTACCAAATCCCAGTAGAAGTCAGTGAAAGCTCCTGCTGTGAATGAGCAGCACCTGCTGGCCATCCTAGGCGATGCAGGATCCCTGAACTCTGAGACGCTTATCTCTGCAAAAGCACACTATAAATAATCAGGATGAAACAGAAGTCATCACTTTCAACAAAAATGGTCTTTATTTACACAATGAATGATAGTTCTCTCAATTCTCCACTCACTAGCAAACTTTTCACTGTATTCATTTAACAAGTTAACAGTCCCAAACTACACTTCAAACTACCTGTCAAACTCCAAGCACTCTAACTTAGAGACAGAAAGTGCTTGGAGAAAGAAGGCTAAGAAAGGCCAAATACTTTATAAGTCATTAAAGGGGATAGATGGTTTGGGGGAATTAGATTCCTGAGCACCATCACATTTCCCTTAAGGTTTACAGTTTTACAGTATTGATTTTACAAAAACTATTGTTTTTACAAAAACATGAAAATATAATAAAGAATATGAGGATTTTACACTTTTATATATTAAGCAGGTTTTCAATGTTCCTGAATTGGCAGAAAGGTGAAAAGGTGGAAATCTGGATGAGGGAAGAAAGTAGCATGGGACACAGCACAGGAAGGTAGAGAAAAAAACAGAGGGAGAAGTTGTGCTTTGAGATTATGAAGTTTAGAACTCATGAACTGAAGAATGAAAAGCTGGTCACAAATCTAGCTGATGAATTACAGTTGAAAGCCTGGGATTTTACACCTTCCAGGGGGTGAAGATAAATCTTAAAGCTGTTAAGTGGCAGAAAACAAAGTACAACTAAGACTATATCATTTATTTTGTAAGAATAAAACATTGGCAGTCTTGCCTGGGTGGTTCCATTCTGTATTAAGAATGTAAAAACATGTATGTCCAGAGCATAGCCACAGAAGCAAGTCACATACCTACATGTAAAACATAAGGGTTTTTAAATCAAGTGAAGAGACACTAGTTTTTACTATTCTCCTCCAGCTTGTTGGCTGTCTCCTAAATTGAAACCATCTTGTCATACTGCCACACCCTGGACAATCAAGTACCTCACCCTGATCAATGCCCACATTTACCCTGAGCCTCAAAGGGCTGATCAGCAGGTGGGATGGAAGGATTACCTTTTTTAGAGATTAGGGGAGGGGAAGATGAAGGAACCAGGAATAAAAAACTGCTTAACCATACACAGAACTAAACAAGTGAGATCAAACTGGTTAATTTCCCTTAGCTATTCTGAATCCCTCTCGTTAAAAAGTCACAACCTTCAGACTGATTAAGCAAAATAAGATTTTGCTACTCAGATTCTCCAATTCTAGGAAGCACTGGTTTTGATGACAATTTTAGTCAGTTTAATTTCCATCTTTTCAGGCCCTTCTGCCTAAGACTACTATGCTCAGCAGGTAAACTCATAAATATGTACGTTTCAGAATGGCATCTTCTAAGGTACCATGGTCTTCCCACGCTATTTAGTTGTCCACCTCCTCCTCGTCATTCTGTTCTTCCTCTTCTAGCCTTTCCTCATCTTCATCATTGTCCTCATCTCTGCTCTTGTCTTGTTCTTCTGAATCGGTTTTTCTGTCTCT